TTAAATCCGTACCTTTCTATTACAGCCATATACATACATACGAACTTATTTATTTAATGTGGGCAGACGAATTAAATGCATGATAACCTGACTGCATGGCTTCCAATTTGACCCACAATTGCCGGGTATTTATTAGACAAACCGGTCCAGCTTTAAATAAAAACTGAATACCTTTTCAAGAGTTCTTCGAAACGAAATCATTCTTMAGTTAAACATCGTTTTCCTACGGTTAAGGACATTTTCTCGACAACTCGATTTTCCTGTTTCCTGCAAGTAATGGATCCGCGTGACCCTGCGTGATCTTTCCCGCCTAATTTTTTAGTTTCATTTTGTTTGTCGGTACGATAAAGTCTATGAAGCTTGAGACATTTTAAAAGAAACTTTGGTATTCGATGCTAATAAAGGATTATGAAATTATCTAAAAATYTAAAGGCAGCAGAGCAATTTTGACCTTCAAATACAGATGTCCGCTCRTATTTACTTTTGCCGGGATATGCAACTTCTCATTTTCTGTGTTTTCAGTTTCTGTTCTACCATTAGAAAACGTTTCCGTGTCCCATTGATAATTTTACCTTAAAAAGAATAAAACAAGAGATATCTAGAACTGAGATAAAAAAATTTTGTTTGTTCGACAATTGCTTGGCAGCATTTGTGCGTGGTTTAGACCGTTGCCAAAGCAACGGTTTTATTTGATATTTCAACACATTGTAAAATAAAATCGCATTTCTGAGTGTTTTACTAAGTGCTCTATGAGGAGTTTCATATGGTTTTGCAAACATTTTAGGCTAGAATTTTATTGGAAATATCTTTACTGGTGTGAAACAATGCTTAATATCGTTTGGTTATACCAATATGACTTCCCTCTTATTCTCTCCTCTCTCTCACACACACTCATTGCTTGCTTTCTGGCTCGCGGTTTGCGTGAGCTTTTTCTCCTCTTAGCTACACAGCTCAAATTTTTGTCTTAGCTTTAGTATCATATAACCCACTTTTCCTCTTCCAGTTTGACACTATCAATTCCTTTCGTTCAATGTTTTCCCACATTAATCAACCATTACTAGATGCATTACTTTATTGCCTTAAGAAATTGTTCCATCAATTCCATAGAAACCATTTCAATTTTCAGGCCCAAAGGTCTATTTAAGTTACACTCTAATTCTATGCCAGCCATCATCACACGACTGTATTCTGACTTATTTAACATCAAATCTACTTTGCGCGCGTTTCCAGCTTTTCGTTTAAAAAGCCGAACTAAGGACAGTAAATGTTTCGATTACGCCGGGTGATTACGGCGAGCCGAGTACATTTAAAACGAAAATCTAGATATTTTACGTACACTACAAAGGTATCCGACTATGATCTCGAAGCGGGACACAGGATAATAATACAAGAATAAAAAGAAAGGAAAAATAATTGATAATATTCCATCTTTCTTTTGTGAAAAGCAGGAAAAAATTTCTTCCTAATTTGACAGCAATTACCAGCTTTCAATACTTTTTTGGATTTAATGTTAATGAAAATGCTCTTCAAATTTTTTGTCAAGCATTCGTTTTATAGGAAATTGAAATAATGCTTGCAAAAAAAGGCGCCGAAATTTTTATTGTTTAGTAATTAAAAAACGGACTGTTCTTTGCTTTTCGTATAAGTTTTTTTTGGTGGGTACATTTATATTTCTATTCAAACGATGATCCCCACGCGTTGGAATARAGTAGTATCTTTGCTCTTCATTTGAAATTGTCATTATTCCTGTTGACTTAGACGCAATTCTTTCATCTTTTCAATTCCGGTCTAGTTTTCGTAAAATAAAACTTAAATATACCTAGGTTTTCATTTGAACTTGAGTGTCACTTTTTGACAATTTCATAAGAAGATATTGCATAAGAATGAACATTTTCTTAATTTGGCAGCAATCACCAGCTTTCAATACTTTTGATGATGAGAATTAGAAATAAGAAGTTGAATGAGAATAGGAATAATAGAAATGAAATAACAGAATAAATAATAACAGCAATAGGAAAACGAATGGAATAAGCCGTTTGCATAATGGCGTCATTTTACTCCCACTGCAAAAATGCTTCGCGAATGTTYTTTCTTATTCGATTTGTATTTCCTCATGAGAATAGTAAGACAATTTGTGCTGATTAACTGAACAAAAGAAAGCGTGCAAGGGAGTCTGGTAGTGATAGTAAATGACGCCATAATGCATGTGACCTATAGGAATAGGATTGAAAACTTAAAATGGAACGGGTTTGCACCAGATACGCGCTGTCTTCCTTAGAGTATTTATTAATGGCACATGATCAGTATAGAACACTTTAAGTTCCTTAACGATAGATCGGGTTTTTTTTCTCGATGGAATTTATGGCATTTCGATCACGCGATCTATTACACTTAAGGGGGTTTACACCGAATCGAAATATGACAACAAATTGAAMTAACTATTGTTCTAGACTGACTAGCCTCGTTTTCACTTGGAAACACAAAAGCGTTTTCACATGTATGAGAGGCTAGTCAGTCTAGAACAATAGTTATTCAAATTGGTTTCGATTCGGTATATAAATGTAACAAGTAGCGTAAAATAGTACGATTCTTGATTATACATGCATGAACATTTGAAATAATTTTTTACTGCGTCCTATTCAAAATATAAACGAGATCACGACCCAAGTAAAGGGAACGTTGAAGAAATCGATCGAGATAATTTATATGCATGAAGTTTAAGGTCACCGCTCCAAACAGCTGGCACGCTGTTTACATAACACTGACAGCAAAATAACTGCTCACTTCAAAAGCTAGAAATTATTTTTTTCATTTTGGCAAATGTTTTTCGTCTGATGAAGAATGTCAGAGCTAGCCAAAGGTGATATGGTCAAAGTTGCCTGCCGTGGACGAAGCGCTATCGCCTATAAGACAACCTTTTTGGAAAAAGAGATGCATGCACTCACAGGGAAGGCCAAATCTAAATAAAACAGCGGCTAATACAAAGGGAACCCATCTACAGACATTTACCTACACCCTTTCCATACACTAATGTGTTCTCGTTTTAGGACAAGGTTCGACCAATGCAACTTTTGCCACAAGCACTGTTCAAACATCGGTCAGAAGAACGTCAACAGTGGTGAACACAGCTTCTTCTGTGCAGATAACAATATCTCCAACACATGCAAGTACCATCATGCGAAGGTCAACCTCAACAGTAGCATCACCAGTGCCACCAGTGCCGACAGCGCCAACAGTGTCAACAACAAAACTACCACCAACAACACCCCCCTCCAGTAAGTCAACAGCTTTATTAATAAACCTTTCCATATTAACAAATATGACACATGG